TGGGGATCCACAGAAGGGAATGTAAAGGCGGAAGATTATACTGCAGCAGCCAGTTCGGCCAGGGAGACTCGGTGCCAAGTTCCCAGGCCCATGCCCAAGTAGCCGAAAAGGGAAGAATGGCATCACACTAGGTCCTCTGCGCACCCGAGATACGCTGTGCGCCAGCGGTCTGAATTATTCCTAGTGGATCTTAGGTTACCCGGAGCACCCACGGAGCGAGGGCTGGGGGGCAGTGTAATCAAGGCATCGAGACGGGCTAGCAGACGGCTCTAACGGAGGGTTCAAATGCACGCTCAGCACTACGCACGTCTGGCCTGGCAGCGGATGGCACCATGACCTGGCACAGAACACCACTCCGGCATGGCACCTGCCGCTGATGGCGTAACACGCCAGGCCCAGATCCCGCCATCAACCTTTGCCCACCAGTGGTGAGCAAACACGGATGTTGCTTCTGAATCGGGTGGGCGAGGGGCTGAGGGAAGCAGGCCTCACAGAGGGTGTGTCTACACGGCAGAGTTTTTCCGGGCTACCAGAGGTACCCTGGAAAAACCTCTGCCGCGTCCAGGGAACATAGCAAGACTCTTCATAGTGAAGTCCTAACAAAAGGCTACTTTGCCTAGTGGATGCAGCTGGGAGCTGCAAGCCGGGAACACGTCTATTCTGATTTCTACCAATACATTCCAATGTGGCTTTAGGACATTTTGAAACTCAGTTGCCTATATTAAGGTATCTAATCCCAATTTCATTGCCTAACCAAAATTGGCTTCGATTTCTGAGGGATGGAGCATCTGCTATGCCCCCCCCCCCCACCAGCGTCAACCAATGTAGACGCGCTTTTCCGCAAAAAAGCCCCGATCGTCATTTTCGCGATCGGGGCTTTTTTGCGGAAAAGACTACTGGGCTGTCTACACTGGCCCTTTTCTGGAACAGTTTTTCCAGAAAAGGACTTTTGCCCGAACGGGAGCAGCATAGTTTTTCCGGAAAAACAATGACGATTTTACATGAGATCGTCAGTGCTTCCAATGTAGACGCGCTTTTCCGCAAAAAAGCCCCGATCGTCATTTTCGCGATCGGGGCTTTTTTGCGGAAAAGACTACTGGGCTGTCTACACTGGCCCTTTTCTGGAACAGTTTTTCCAGAAAAGGACTTTTGCCCGAACGGGAGCAGCATAGTTTTTCCGGAAAAACAATGACGATTTTACATGAGATCGTCAGTGCTTTTCCGGAAAAGCAAGAGGCAGTGTAGACAGCTGGCAAGTTATTCCGGAAAAACAGGTGCTTTTCCAGAATAAGTGGCCAGCGTAGAGACAGCCCCGATGTTTGGCCCAGTGTAGATGGGCCAAATGTCGGAAAAGCCTCTTCCGAAAAAAGAAGCGGAAAAAGCTACACAAATTGCAGTTCACAATTTGCGTAGCTTTTTCCGGAAGAGCAGTGCAGCATCAACATAGCCTGAGTGACAGCGAGGGTGGGGTAAGCTGTTGGGAGGATCAGGTGAGAAGCTGCTTGCAGGAGGGGGAGCTGCTAGCAAAGGGGATGGAAAAGCAATAGGGTTTAGCTTCCAGTCATTAGAGCAGGGGAGACCCCCAAACCTGCCATGTGCGGGGGGTGTTCTGCCAATGCCCAGGAATACAGATGCCCATCCAGATGTGCAAGGAGCCCTTGATGGACCTTA